ACGGGCCGTTCCAGATCAACAATTTACAAAACAAAAAATCTTGTACTGCTTGCAGAACGGCCCGTACTGCTTGCAAAACGGCCAGTACTTCAAGCAGAATGGCCCGTTCCAGATGAAAAAATAATAGAAAATAAACAAAACATTTGCGTAGAGAAGAAACTAACCTCAAACGTGTAATGTGCAGACTCTTAGAGACTTAGAAATGTGCAATGTGGAAACAAAGGCACTTGGAGACTTAGAGAATAAGAGAAGAAGTAATACTTTTCGTAAACAGTGGGATGCGTGGGAATGAGAAATGGAACGTTGGGCATTTTAGGGGAAAATTTACGTCGGACAAGGGGGGTCTGACGTAATCTTACGTCGAACAATGGAACCTCCGACGTAGATTGTCTAATTTACGTCGGACCCTCCTTTGTCCGACGTAAATTAGTCTCTCTATATTTACAAACTGCCACCGCATTTTTACAACGTCGGGGTTTCCAGTTTCCGACGTAAATTAGGTGACGTAGTAGCCCTTTTTTGCACTAGTGGTCCTCTCCAAGTGTGTAAGCACTCCTTTTGTGTAGTGAAAATCCCTCCAAAGGACTAGGTTTGGATTCGGTTCACTCCTCCACTCAAATCCACCAAAGGTTTGCTAGTTTGCTAGATAACTTCTTCACCTACATTCAAAATAAAATCAACCCAAGAGCAATAGTCCAAGAAATAAAAACTGAAAATTCACAATTAGGAAAGGCTAAACTCAGAGAGAATTGATTGAGACAAAACAAAAGAGGCCAAAGAAATGACAAACAAAAATTAAGACACAATTAAAAAGGAAGCACACAAAAGAGTAGTCTTAGAATGACACTAGAATGGATTAGTGTTTAGTCCACTTGATTAAGTCTTTTATGAGATTTGGTCCAGCCACATTTAAAGTCTCAAAATAGGTTCAATAATGGTCTTAAGTCCAACTCCAAAAAGCATAGATATTGGTCCAAGTCCACAAGTCTAGCAACAAGTCCTTTTTGGTCCAAAATTTTTTTGATCTTTTTTTTTTCTTCACGTCAACTTCTCTTTCTTTTTTGGTCCAATTTTTTTTTTAATGTTTAGCCCTTTTTGTTTCTTGGGTTTTGAACTTGTGGGTGGAAAAGAAATTAGGTCAAATTTAGGAGAAGGAGAGGAGGACAAGTGGAGGTTTCTTAGAGGTGCTTAGGGTATCTTTTGAGTGGAATTGTATTTGTACTATCTAGTACAAGTTGTTTTGCACAAATTTCTCAACACACCTCTTAGATTCTTTTGGGGTTTTTTTAAGCATCAAATGTTGACCAAATCAAGTGAGAATGAAAGGAAAAAGTGGGCTGCAATTTAAATGCATGTGCAAGGAATCATTTTACACATGGATGATCAAAAATACATGGAACATGCTAGGACTAAGTAGCATGCATGAATGACTCCTAGATGGATTCTATATGTCACACCCACTTTGTATGATGCATCATGGTATTTTTTTGTTCATGTATTCATGCAAGGTGTTTGGCATACATACATGGAATTTTGTAGACAAAATATAGGAAACAAGACTTGACAAAACTTAAGAAGATTCAAAAATCAAAAAGCATGTTCATCATGTTCTTATGAGACTCAAACCTAAAAATGGAAAAACATGGATATCACCTAGCAAGTAAACCTAAAAACTTTTAAGGAAGGTTCACAAGGAACAAAATATGAACCCAAAGCATTCGGCCACACAAAGAAAGACAATAAGGAAACAATGACCGAATGAAAAAAAAATAACAATACGGGAAGTTACCCTTGATGAACCTTGGCTCTAGATACCACATGATTGAGACCTCCCTTCCATGGATGATTTTGGCTCCTTGAAGAAGGGCACCTTGCCCAAAGATCTAGGCTCACCAAAGGGAAATTGAATGGGGACGTTTAGGGTGGAATGGTTTTGGACGTGAGAATGGTGATTGTTTAGGCCAAATGTTTGGTTGCTCAAGGTGGGTTGGCTCACTCCAAACTGAAGATGGAGGCCACTCTAGGTTTCTCACTCTCCAATGGTGGAGATAGGAGAAGGTTAGCCAAAGATAACCTAGTGATTAAGGAAGAGATGTTGAGGCAAAAATGTTCACTCAATATCATATAATCCAAAGTATTTACAAGGTGTGGTGTATTGGGTATTTATAGGAGTGGGAGGCATCTAGGGTTGCATTTAGGGTGCCTTGGCCGAAATTCACCTTGCCAAATGCACACCAAATGAAACCTAAATTAACCCTAGATGCAACTTGGTGGCCAAGGATGGAATCTTTAGGTTTAGTTAGGCTACATTTAGGTGTATGATAAGATCATGCAACCTTTACCCTCCACTTGGGCCTAAGCCTTTCTAAGACCAAAAATAGGTCCAAAGCTACCAAAAATGCGTCACTTCCTAATTAAAACCCTAGCCCAAAAATTAAAATCCTAATTATCTAAAGCATCCCATAATACAAGGGTAAAATGGGAAATATAAAAGGAAAATAAGTCCTATGACTAAGATACCCCAAAATACAAGGGTAAAATTGGAAATACAAATAAAATACATTCTATGACTAAAATACCCCAAAGTACAAGGGTAAAATAGGAATAAAACAATAAAATCCTACACTACTCAAAATGAGCCTAGGAGATGGATCAATACTCCACACTCATGATGAGTATGGCTCTAGCCATGGTATCTCCTTCATCCTCCTCTATCCTCCTAGCCATGGACCTAGTAATGGGTCCAACATGTAGTTCCAAGGGTGGCCCTCCATCAGTATTTTCTTCCTCATGCATACTCTTAGGGATTCTAACCCCTTTGCCTATTTGAGACCTAGTTGGAACAACCCTAGGTTTGGATCCACTAGTTTCTACAACCAATTTTGTAAGTAAATTTCTTATTTCCATATTATCCTTTGCATTTTCTTAATCACTAAGCCGTTTGACACTTTTCTTACAAAACAATTTTTGCACAAGAATTAGGTGTGTGTGTGCACGGCCCCCTAGTAGGCAACTTGAAGCCTTCTAAAACAAAAACAATTAAAGTAAAATACCTAAGCAATTATACTACCAAAGCACTAAAGCATGCAAAGAAAGCAACTAAAGCATGTGCTAGTCGGATTTCCTAGGGTGGGAGCCTGAAGGAACCTTGGTGATATTCAAGCCACTCCCACAAGTACTACTCGAATTACCCTAAGACTATGAGGTTTAAAGAGGCCAAATTACAACCCAAGATAAAAGAAAAAAGGCCCAAATACAAATGGCCTAAAAGAAATTGAACAAGAAACAAGTAAAAGGAAAATAAGTTTTCAACTCCTCCAATTCGGCTTCCTTTACAAAGAACAAACTAGGTTAGTTCTCTCATTTAGT